GTTCAGAAGCTGAAGGTGTTAAAAGGCTGATCAGCAAGTAATGGATATTGACGCTCTGATATGAACAAATAATAAATCAATGTGTTCCTTTTCACACATCTGGAATAATGGTATGTAATGTAGGTTGTGAACGGTTACTTATTTGCAATGAACATTTTCAGTATCACACAAAATTCATATTCATGGATGGAGCTATACCAAGTTGATCAAAAACGGATGTGCTGATATCTAGATTCATTCTCACCTGTGCAAGTAATACCTTGGTTGTGTATTCCACTTTCTACTTTAACAAATTATCCTTGTAACATTGCCTTCATTCCTTTTAGAATAATCTATAAAATCTTGCATTACTACACCATTGATGACGATAACTTATCCAGAAAATTTCTGTGTTCAATTTCCCCCAGAAGCAATATTTATCAGAATGTTTACAAAGCTGGACACCAAATATGGAAATGTGGATTGAACAATTAAACAACTCATGCATTTTTTTAACTATCCTGGAATGTCAATATTCAAAATGAAGCGAGCAAGGTTGTGTGAATGTTGGGACACCCAGTGACAAGCATTTAAATTGGTGTGTGACTTTCAAACCCAGTAGTTTATAGTAAGCATTAAATATACAGTATTGTGATACTGAATGGCAGTGCTAGTGCATTGTCAGGTACATTCAGCTGATAATACGCCATATTTTAACACAAATCTAATGAAACTGCCATAACATTTTTGTTGGTGGTTTCAAAAAGCCATGGCAAAGACTGTATTGAACAGTGGCAAAGACTGTATTGAAGAGATAGCGATTCTCTTATAACACATGGTCATTCAAGAACGAATGCAACAATACTTGTTCAGTACTATTCACATATAGAAATATATATATAGAAATATATACACACACACACATTTTAGTCCCTATCAAAAGCATGTGAGTGGGCTAGTCCAAACTTGCTAGTCCTTTTCAGTTGTGTGTGTCCTTGAGTACTGTCAAGCTGAGCTTTGTGGTCTCAACAGATTTGTACCCGACTCAGTCTACTGGTTGTGTGTATGTGCTTGCAATGTGTGCAGATGAGTGTAATGATTGTATTTAAAAAATAATTCACAAGGGAGACTTGGAAACAGTGTCAGGGATCAATTTAGTGCTTTGTTACTTGCACTGGTGCAACCCAACATTACAAAGTGCAACCTAGTTATTTGCCTAACTTGAGAAATAAATAAATCAACAATAAATCTAACATTATGACATTTTTCATCTAAGCTATGAATAATTCAGTAGCACATTTCTTTCATTACATATTGCGATGTGCAGTGCAACTGGAATTTGGCTGGTACAAATAGGTTTTTATCTTAGGTTGCACCTGGTGCAAGTAAGTTAACGTCTCTTAAATTGAGCCCTGCAGTGTTTGAAATAAATGATAAATGTCAAAGGTCTCAATTTGAATACTGAGCTGTTGCAAAAAATTAGAGTAATACAGACATTTCAAGTTAACACCAATAAGCTGCCATAATTGCACTCATCAGTACAGTCAACCTAAGTCAACCTTATGCAGGAACATATCACCAGAACTAGGTGACATATTCCTGAACCTCAAGACTGGCTGTGGGTCAAAACAAGAATAAAAAACAATGCATGGAGATAAGCTGGTAATACAGGATTACATATCTTCATGCGCAGGCTTTATATTGTGGCACAATCAGATTTTATATTCATGACTTTATGTCAAATCCTCCATATCAAGAGCTTATGGATGCCATTTTCAATGATTAGTGCTCACCATGCCCAACAGCACTCCAAATACATTAAACAGCTCATGGAATGACCATATGGCTCATGAATACACAAGCAGTGTTCATTTAGAACCACCATAGAGTATGTATGAATACTGTTTTGACAGTGTTGTCCAGAAACGGAAGTGAAGCTTTATCGATCCAGAGCTTTGTTCAATCTTGCCAGTAATGCCCAAAATTTCCATGGTTCAGTTTTGATGGAGTCAGTAAATTAACTTGAGAATCAATCATAAACAATGTGGAATATTAAACAGAAAATAATAATTCTCTACTTGTTAATGAAACAATGGCGTGGGTCAATCAAGTAAAATGTACCTGCAGTCATTGGTTAACATTCTGTCAAAAACAAGTACAACCTGTCAACAAGCATGCTGCTGTTAATGGCAGGGGGCATCCAGAATGCTTATGACACTGACAGTAGCTCATGAAAAACAAGAATTATCTGGATGGATTTGGTTATTTTAAAGAAACCAAAATACAGAGACGGGCATTGATCATTTTTGTCCAAACCCCCACAACACACACAAAACAACCATAACATTGAGAAGAAAATATAACAAGAATGATTGAAACAATCCCGTCGAAGAAAAGAGGATTGTCAGTCCCTTGGAGGTTTCTGTAGGTACTATATGGTCTCATATAAAGGTGCTACAAATATAACATGTAAAAAACATGATTATTTTTTACACAAATTGTGTCAAATGCACAAGACTCCTGTCATGTGAAACCTTAAGAAGTGGCTTCACACTTGTCCCCATTCTTGGAAATCCAACCAAGGCCGAGAGAAAAGCAAGTGATTTCATGGAGCAGAGCCCAACCCAATCAGCAGTTTGTTGAAGACATACACCTGCCGATGATGTCTTTGACTGAAGAAATTGAATACAGCAGGAAAAAAGCCCATCTAATTTCGCCACAAGACCTCAAAACAAGGGGAGAACCTTGAAGATCATTGTAAGTCCTTAACTGAGAACTGTTTGAATTGAAATACTTATTCAAATACTTATATAGGAAACTGTCATAAAAACAAAATTAAGACATAAATACAATCCAACAGGTATTGAAATATAGAAGTGCAGTTCAACTATTTCAGATAACCATCATGTTTAGTATATGTGAGTGAGTTTGGTTTTATGCCGCTTTTAGCAGTATGACGATGGGTACACCAGAAATGGGCTTCACACATTGTACCCATGTGGGGAATCAAACCCAGGTCTTCAACGTAACGAGCGAACCACTAGGCTACCCCCACATACATGTTTAGAAAATGTGCTTCTTGATGGTTTTGTACAATGATGAATGCTTTTGAAAACAAGAAGTTCACTTGAATGACACTGAGAACCCTAAAACTAGTAAAAGCTAAGAATGGACAACTGAACTAATTTTTCCTCTAAACAACCTTTACCACCTTCTACAGATTTTGTTCTTAAGGCACACTCACAAATATGACAGCAGCCTCAATCAGGTATCTGCCAGACAAAGCAATGACTGATATTAATAGGTAAAGGTTCATTCTATCGCTGTATACAGACATAGAATAACCCAGGCCACAGATTCTGACTATCTGATGCAGTAAGTCACTCTGCTTGCTACTGTTTCTAACCTGGAATCCAGCTTCACAGTAATTGACTGAACTCCTTTTACCATCCCTAACCTCAAAGAAACACATGAAACTGATTAATAACATACCACTGTACATTACAACATATGTAGTCATAATAATACTCAGCTGACGACACAATAACACGACAAATATTGTCCTTTATCATAATAATCAAACAGCACAATATTCATACTATCCAAGCTTTGAACCTTTATATTGTGATACGCAGTGTAATTTGTATGCACTGTATCACCCTTGTATAGTATCGTCTCAACATACCTCCTGATACATACATTCCTGGCTTTCTTAATACTTCTACTTCACACACTTTAATGCATAAAAGGTGTGTTGTATCTTGGTATCAAACAGCCTTGCAATCAATGCTGCATTACAAGCATTACCAACAAATACTACTGCTACTGATAACAATAAAAGCCATTAAATATACATAATATAGTCACAATTCATACAACAAAATTACCCTGACATATACTAAAAATCCAACAAATCAATAAAACAGTGCAGACATACTCATCTTTCATTGCATAACATGATAGTTGGTGCAAATCAAAGAGTGTAAGTTTCCCAGAAAAGACCATTTCTCAAAAGGAAAGCATTTTCTGTCAATCAATATTAAACATCTATGTCTTCCAGACCCACAGAGAATCTGCAAACTCCTCTGAAAATATGCGACAGACATAACAGTGGCATTATTCAGTTGTACACGTTCGTTCTTCTGTCCCAGGAACAAAAATGTCACCTGGACGAAAGTTGTACACTTAGAAACATTGTTATCAACATCGATCACAGTGTAACAAAATTATCCAAATCAGCACAGCTCCAAGTTTTTCATTCAGACGAAGAAAGCCGTCTCGCTCTTTTCACAAGTTATAAGTACACTTCAACTTTTGAGTCGCTTGTTGGCTGTTAACATGGTTAATATTTGAAAATGAAAGGCACTCCAAAACTGATCTACAGTATTTTTTTCGCATGTATCAACGTTTAGTTACTTGGGATGTGAGATCGATCGGCTGAATAATCGATAACATGATGTAATCTATGTTTTGGACCATATTTCAGAGTAAATATCACTGTTGCCGACACTAAGAAGATCCACGAAAAGTTATTGAAATGACTTTATTCGTTGACAAACCAACCAATGTTATTCGTGTTTTCAACCAACACCATTCACACACGAACACGTGCTTTGCAGATTTTCATACACCTACATCTCTCCCATGGTCACAAGTTTATGTACACTAGAAGTGCGATATGAAAGGTTTTGAGACTAAGGGAAATCAAATATGACCCATATTGATAAAGCGAAGCAAGCACATGTCAAGCAACGGTAGGGCTTCGATCACAGACGAACCTTGAACACGCCATGTTTATTACAAACAGGAGCAGTATGGTCTGTCATAGCCGCCGAACTAAACATGGATCAAAACACAAAAATACTGCAGATATCGTACAAAACTATGCATAGTACATGTCAACTATATGTATCGTTTCTTTTGCGCCAAATGTCAATCATTTCTTATACCCAGACTGGCTCAAAATGGCCGAGGGTACAACCGAACGGCCACAGCCACAAAAATAGTATGAGGTGACTTACCGTTGAAAATGGTTATTCACTGAATCTTCCGTACACTTTTCGGGTAGGTTTCTAACCAACAAATACCGTGTTTCTCGAACCATTTCTTCTTTAACTACATGGTTTAATGAAACAAACGCGTTCCATAAACCTATCCGCCAGCGTGAGTATACATCGTTGGATCGTTTCGACGCGCTAGGAATAGCACAGAGAGAGAAGTGACGTCATAGCTTTCAGATTCTGTTCCGACCTTTCATCCAGCTATAGCCTGTTTCATAAAATACTCCCCCGAGGCGGTGGCGTTGTGTTTGTTCATTGAGGTCTGAAAGAGACATGGCGGAATATATTATCCTGTTTTCAACAGATTCTCGTGTTTAACAGTGATCTGTGTCTTTTTGCTACATATTACTGGGTAGTGTACACTTCCATATGTATTCAGTCCCAGACTACTGCTATGATATATCATAAAAAATTAAAACACCCCCAACCGTGAAAGTACCTCGAATACCGTAGATAATCTAAGATACGTATAAAAGTGTAGTTAACGAGGAAATATTGAAAAATTATCCAACAACCCCAATATTTGTGGTGCGACTAGATTGCTATTATATACCGCCAAGAAACAATAGGATGACTATATTTGTGATTATTTTCACAGTTAATTGATTTTCAACGCCATGATAACAGCAACAACATTAATATGTTTGATTTTTTGGTTGCATGTGACCTTTAACAAATCGGTTCTTTTCTTAAAATGGAACTAGAATCAGTACGATTGAAGACATAGCAAATTCTGTTTGATTCCCTCTAACACCACATCCCACGTCTGCTCACTTCAACGTGAATGTCAGTCTACAGTTTAGTGATTGGTCTAATTAAACTAGACAATATGTCAATACGAAACATAACCCTCATTTCAACGTAATACCATGGCAGGACATTAGCAACGGAGTTTAAATCATTGCGGTTGTGGTCGAAAACCAAAGGCCTTGGTCAGCGCTCACACTATCGATCACTCGTTGTCATATATTCAGTCAGACTTCCTGTACCCCGCAGTAGCTATATTTTTGTTGAAACACGGCCTAAATTATGACAGGGTGAAAGCAATCTTCTTCCAGTACCATCTCGTACCGTACATTTAGGGTGTCACTGGACGAAATAGTGGTCGAATATTGCTATAAGCGATGAAACACCCATCGGGAGATGGTTACCTAAGTTGGAAAACCTGTTCCTCATCCCTTTCTTCACTGAATAAAATATGTTTAAATCAAAATCAACATCTGACCCGGAAGACGTGTTAACCATTAGGCTACCCCACCGCCCTACTAAAGTTCCTGTAAACAGTTCATTTACCAGTTTACTTCATTGCGTTTATGGATCTATAAACATAAGGACCGATGTCTAAACATGCACACAGTGTGTTCAGTTTTACGCCGCTTGTAGCAATATTCCAGCAATATCACAGCGGGGACATGGGCTTCACACATTGTGTCCAAGTGGGGAATCGAACCTGGGTCTTCGGGGCGTGACGAACGAACGCCTTAACCACTAGGTTACCCACCACCCTTACCTGCATACAGCCAACTCTTATAAGACTGACTGACTGAGTTTGGTTTTAAGCCGTTTTTAGCAATATTCCAGCAACATCACGGCGGGGGACACCAGAAATGGGCTTCACACATTGTACCCATGTGGGGATTCGAACCCGGGTCTTCGGCGTGACGAGCCAACGCTTTAACCATTAGGCTACCCCACCGCCCCTCTTATAAGAAGGTCAACAATAATAATTTATTTGATAAGTCATTTATTAATTAACGCATAATTTAGACATGAAAAAGTGACAACGTTCGGCACAACAATGTACTTTTTTACCCACTCATTTAAAAATCAGCCAATGAGGAAACAGTATTTTAAGGAAGCACGTGTTTGGTTAGCCATTAAAACGTCAAGGAATCAGACATCATTGAAACAATTGATGTTTGTATCCGTATACCCTGTTTAGCGCACGCCATGTGGGCTATAAAACGAATACGCGCACGCACGCACACACTCAGCTTCACTCTGGTGTATATTTCCTGAATGGTTTCTGAGTGTGTTTAATTTTCGCTCCAGAAGATACTGATGTAAAACATATCCTCTTACGTAATCCCCGTTGTTTTCCTTAATTCCTTTTGATGTAATCCCTTACAGTTGATATTTAGCTCTTCGTAGACGTCGTGGATAAAGAATAATGCGATTAGGTCATTCAAAGACACGTTTAGTTATCACATCCCAATCCTGGATCGTCGATGTAAAGTCTATTATATAAGTAGGCAACGTGTTGGCACGCCTGTTGTGCGGCAAGTCAATGAGACACGTGACCTGCGATTTCCTCGAGCCAAGACGCATGCGCAAATCCGTTCAGTTCTTAATGACCACGCACTGAGAAGTAACACACAGAATGTTTCAGCCAACAGACCTGGTGTGTGATAATTCTCAACATGCCTTGTGTGCAAGGCCTAAACCTCCCGGGGGTACGGTGCCCCGGCCCACGGCGCTGTGCGGAGTTGCTTCCCTCAGTCAAACCAGAACCCGATGATCGTGAGTTCCGCCCCAATGAGTCACAGCTGGTATATAACTGTGCTAGTGGAAAATGGAGTTCAGGACCAGTCGTGTTCATCAGGCTCTTCAACCAAACAACGAGTGAGTGAGTTCAGTTTTACGCCACACTCAGCAATACATGGCGGCAGTCTGTAAATACTCCAGTCTGGACCAGACAATCCAGTGATCAACACCATGAGCATCAATCTACGCAGCCGGGATGCGATGATATGTGTCAACCATGTCAGCAAGCCTGACCACCCGATCCCGTTAGTTGCCTCTTACTACAAGCATGGGTTACTGAAGATCAAATCTAACCCGGATCTCCACGGGTCTCTTCAACCATTAAAATTGGGACGTGGTGATATAACTGTCATTACACATACACACGACACCTACGAACGCACGCACGCATGCACACACCACCCCTACAATACAGGTCATCCAGTTTTCACAGTGCAAACCTCATTATCCCCACCCCCACCCCCATTCCTCAAAGCGACCAAGCGTGATGTCCGAGGACCAACATATCTGTGTGGTTGGCACAGTTAATATAAACATGGTTTGGTTTCCTCAACCATTTTACCGAAGAACATGACTCAAGATGACGCGACGTGTGTCGTGCGATCGGGGAAAGCCACTTTTATTGGTTAGGACATTATTTTGACGCATGCAGTTTTGCGACATAAGACACATACATTAATATTTTACACATATCGTAATATTTTCTCTTAATTTACACATGAAATAATATACAACAAAGATAATTTAACTACTCGTTCAAAGATGATATTATTACACTATTATCATATCTTTTTTAAAATCACTTAATATTTATCGAGACAAAAATATTGTGTATGGTGAGCACTTTACAATAGGTCTTACGGTAAACTCTGTGCCTGTTCACCGGGCCTCTGTTTCAGTGTTGGAACGCCAAACGAGACGATAAGTTCCTACTCAAACAACACGATGTGTCACTGATACTGGCTAGACACTAATACTCACTACAGAACGGACAAATATCATTTTTAAGTATCCATTCCAGTTAACAGCATGGACAAGCAAGCGTGCAGGTAAATTATGATAAAATGATCGACAGATGATTCGCCAGAAGCCGACTGTGTTGAAGATGGGCGACAAAGACAATATTTTATTGTAAATTAGAATTTGGAATATGTCACAGAAATGGCGACAACTATGTTCAATACTTCATCTGTATACAAGGAAATGAATATACCAGCCAAAGTTACCTGGCTCATGAACGACATAATATGAAACAGACTATATACCTCGTGATTTCGGACGAGACTGGCCTACTTTCTGTGTCCAACAAACAATACTGGTAAATTAGCTCCCGAGGTTTGGATTATAGCTTTGAATGTCCACAGCAGCAGTTTTATTCACGGGTGTATACATAAACTGCTCGAAACAATGGAACAAGTGGATTTCGCCATATGTGGTGGCCAAATCGTTAATCCTGCCACAGGCCTCGATGGAAGGGGGAGTGTAGGTATACGCAATGGGAAAATTGCAGTGATCGACATGGACTCGTCCGTAACCTATGACCCTCAGCATGTGGTCCGCGCTGACGGGTACATTGTGATTCCTGGGATGATCGATTGTCACGTGCACGCCTATCAACATGCAACTCCGTTAGGCATAAATATCGATGATCATTGTCTTGCACGTGGCGTCACGACTGCTGTCGACGCTGGTTCGGCAGGTGGGTGTGGCCCTTATCACACGTTTGTGGATTGCAAGAGAAAATTACTTATCGGGGGGAAAGCCTGCTTACTATGTCAAAGCGAATGATGCAAGTTGAAAGAATTATGTGATTTGGGTATGGCATTTATGTCGGATATGCGTACAAGGCAGAAGATGAAACGAGGCAATAATGATCTCAGGGAAAGAAGCTCAAACCGACTGCTTACGGATATATAGGCCTACCATCACGTCTCAAACGCGCTGATACATGTCGCAATGCCCGATCTAAAAGTGCACGGTATCGAATTTCTGGCTCAATGAGGGAAAAGTCTTTTGTTGAAGCTGTCCGCAGACAGATTCGCAAATTCAGTAAAATACAATATTTCAACATCGTACAATATTTCCACGGGTATTTATTGTTTTCACTACTTCTACTACTACTACTACTACTACTATTTCAACATCGTACAATATTTCCACGGGTATTTATTGTTTTCACTACCACTACTACTACTACTACTGGGGCGGTGGGGTAGCCTAGTGGTTAAAGCGTTGGCTCGTCACGCCGAAGACCCGGGTTCGATTCCCCACATGAGTACAATGTATGAAAGCCATTTCTGGTGTCCCCGCCGTGATATTGCTGGAATGTTGCTAAAAGCGGCGTAAATACTACACTCACTCACTACTACTACTACTACTACCGCTTCTACTATTACTCCTGCTGATACTGCTGCTCCTACGACTACTACTACTACAACTGTTGTTGCTGCTGCTGTTATCCATGCCTGGTTACGCGTCAACTCACATGTGTCCGTTTCGTTTGATTTAGAGTTCAAACTTTCGATTACGTCAGTTTGTTAAGATAAGTCGTAGCGCTAAGCTGGTTGTGCATGTAGCCCCGGATGACTTTGAGGCGTTTGGTTGCTTACGAATTTGTAAGAATTCACTTCAAACCTTCTTTATGGCGGTACCAATCTAAAAACAGGTGTGAATGCTGTAAACCCGGTATTTCCGTCAATAACCCCATAACAAACGCAGATGAAAGATACCCTTGCTTGGCTATTTTCACGTTTTACATTGTGACGTCACAATTCACTGAATATGACGTAACAATGGCTTTTAATGTCCCACCGACAAGGCTGGTGAACGAACCAATCAAACGCCTCAAATTCTGCAACAACAATTAGTCGCGAGATAATGCTCTTAGAGTTACAAATGTCCAAGAATCATCTTCGCTGAGTGGGACTTGGCGCCATGATCCGCAATCATTGTTTTATTCTGAGGAGTGAATATGTCCCCTGTACCCTAAGTTTTTCGTAATTTCCGAATTAAATGGGGATCGGGTGGTCAGAGTTCGTGACAAGGCTGATCGCCGGTCGTCGTGACCCCATACCCTGCATCGCCGTTTCCCTTGTAAATGTCACTTCATCCATTTTGTTTTGGGCAGATTTAATTTTATCTGTCGTGGCCCAACGGATATTCAGTGTTCGTTCGTCACACCGAAGAGCCAGGTTCGAGTCATCAGATGGGTACAGTGTGCGCTCTCTTTTGAACCTTATTATTGATGAGTGCGACATTACATCGTTTTCATACTCGCTGATGCTAATTGAGTAGTCTGGTGCTCAAGGCGTTTACTGGTCCTGATCAAGACAAGAGTTCAATCACTAAAGCAGTAAAAAACAACACCAACCCCCTAGCCTAGTGGTTATATCGCTCGCTCGCCACGCTAGGGATCCGGGTTCGATTCCCCACATGGGTACAACGTGTGAAGCCCATTTATGGTGTCCCCGCCGTGATATTGCTGGAATATTGGTAAAAGCGGCGTAAAACTAAACTCACTCACTCTACCCCAACACGAACACAGCAGCGAGAAATTTCGGTTACCAACTGTTATGCGTAATGATAATAAATGAAGTACCATGTTTTAAAAGACAAATATACAATTTTCTTAAATAATTGTAAAATTTAATACAAACAAATCGAAAAATGTAAATTGTAGCAGAGGCAAAATAGTTAGCCACGTCATATACATGCTAGATAAATATATGAATAATACATTTTGAATTAATAATTAAACAAGGGCTTAAAAAACATTTACAGTTTTGCACAAATCTATAGCATTGTTATGACGTTTCCATAGCATCCATAGCGTCAATAACATGACAATATCAAATGGCCTTACGAGTTAGATTTAGAAGCTTGAGATGTAATCATTGTACCGTGCCGCGACGTCTCCAATTTCCGTCCAATATTAAGAATAAAAAAGGTCATGTCATAAAACTTCTCATGCCGACACGCCTCTATTTAAGTCATGGTTATATTTAGAGCTTATTCACCTTCCTGGGGAAATCCTTTTGTCTGCATACATGTATCTGTAACTGTTTCCCGAGGTCTATGTATATTGACTGCGTCATCTTTTGATCAAACATATTGAGATGACACACGGCTTTTTAAGAAACATACAGTTGGCAGTACATTATGTGGACTTGACACAAACAAACCCTGTGAAGCGGCAGTAAAATACAAGCCGAATAGTTGAGATGGTTTTCTTCAAGATTGTTGTAAATCATAACGACTACTACTACTACTACTACTACTACTACTACTACTACTCCTCCTCCTCCTACTACTACTACTACTACTACTACTACTACTACTACTACTATGCTGATACTGCTGATACTGATGCCGTTGTCAATGCCTGGTTTCGCGTTAGCTCACAAGTGTTGTAAATCATACTACTACTACTACTACTACTACTACTACTGCTACTCCTACTACTACGTGTAACATCTTTAATGCGACATTCCAAGCGTATGCTCATGGCACAATACTATTACCTCGGTTAGTGGATCAGTGTGCTCTCTATTCTCAACTCCCCGGGGAACATTCAGCACAAGCTGCCGTACGCTGCATCATATATCTTGCACATACTGTTTCATCAAGCACTCCGCAATAGAGGTTGACTATGACATTGCTCCTGTCAGCAAGTGAAATAAATACATCCAAATCTAACAAAAGGAAAAAAACCCCACAAATTTCGTTTCAAATTCACATGAAACCTTTAACGCTCGTCTAGACAAGATAAAGCATACTTGTACCGAGAAATGTGCAATCATTCTACAGACGGGCCCAAAATACCTTTGCGCGCCACGTTCTATGATTACGTAACATGCACTGCACCCTCGCCAGTGACGACAGTCTACGTGCATCAATGGTGACATTATCGACGGGGATTGCGTCCGTGGAAAACTGAGCCAAAGTTAAATGTTACACGATATTCTCTGGAGACCCTCGTACTATACCGAATGTAAACCGGAGTCGCCATATCCGCAGCTACCGATGTCGATGAAAGGTTACATGGCACCGCGGTCGGGCAGACAGTGTCTGTTTTCGGGAGTATTTTTTCCCGAGGGTGTTTGCGATATTTCCTGTAGGGTAACCGCAGAACTGTCTCCTTCCGAGACCGGTGACATTTATTGTGCAGACAATGGGATTTTTCCTGATCAGATGATTGAAAATATTATCCTAACAACATATAATGGGTCAAATTCTGAACCGTGTTTTAAGTCCACATGAAAGTATATTGGTGGTATTTGTCAAATGTTGCCCCCTGTTATAATATATAGAGATAATTACACGAGTAAGTGTGTCATGCAACTTAAACGAAACGAGTGTGAAATTTTGTAATGCCCGAGCGAGAGCGACGGCAATATATATTTTTGGACGAGTTTTGTATACGTCATATGACACATTTGCTCCAGTGTAATAATTTCTTTATTATCCATTTTATTCATGTACATTTGTGCAGTAAAACACGGTAAGTGTGACGGCCCTGTTCATTGACGTCACGTTCAACTGTTTAATGACGTCACAGACAACGAAATACAGAAACAATGGTTGCTAGGCAAAAGTGATATGTGCACATATGATATATAAAATGACACTGGTTATGTTTCACCATTTCACCATATGGGTAATAAATCCATATGGAAGTATATGGGTGGTATTTGTTATCGGGGTAAGATGACAAACAATCAACCAACCAGTCGACACAAAACACCAATACTTTTTAATCCACTTTTGAGAAATGAAATAGTGTTCAGGATCTGTTCGAGCCTCTGGAGATCCGGGTTAGAATTGGTTTTCAGCAACCCATGCTTGGAGTAAGGGGCGACTAACGGGATCGGGGGGTCAGGCTCGCTATTCCAATCGCGTAGACCGATGCTCATGCTGTTGATCACTAGATTACCCGGCCCAGATTTGATTATTTACAGGCTGCCGCCATACAGCTGGAATATTACTGAGTGCGTAAAACAATTAACAAACTAACCTGCAATATCTGTGGTTACTTCATCAATGGCGATGGGTACCCTCCAGTGGTAATCTCCGAGGCCAAGAGGTAAGCACAGAGTGTGAAGTATGTGTATATTAAATTTGCTAATTGGTACTGATGTGTCGAATTCAGCGACTATAACGAACACTCTTCTAACAAACTAACGGATGTAACGAACTGTTTTGGGGGTCCCATCCATTTGCAATATATTCCAGTGGAAATGGGGGTCCCATCCATTTGCAATATATTCCAGTGGAAATGCGTAGAACGAACTACTTTTATTACAAACTAAAATTAGTAGACCCTTTGAATTCGACACAACCGAAGTTTACGGTTGAGGGTGTTGTACAGTTGTTGTTGCGGACACATTGTGAAGGAGTTATGATGGATTCAGTCCATCGATTCGGTGACTTAAAACAAAAATGAACCGGCGAAGACAGCATCATGTTTAATCCATTACACGGAACGCTGACACTTAGTTTCCAATTAGCATTCCGTTGCATGCATATGCACTTCGCATACTGTTGAAATGACAGCTCATGTGAGAAAAAGGGCACCCTTTCTTCACAGCTGCACGTGAAGATCACGTGGCACGCAACTGCAACAGCTTTGTTCGATGTTCGGGTAGCTAAGTGCATACATGTATAAAGATGCCGAGAACTTGATCTCCTCTGCTGATTTCAGCCCACGCAAGTTGAAACAATTCCCTCTTTCATTTGGAGTCTATTGTTAGATATTCTTATGTGATTCTTGGGTATTTTCCACGTAGTTTACGGATAGACGTAGTACCAAGCAGTCTTAGCGCTACGCAAGTCGTAAGTTTTAGTTATAGTGTGGTATGATTACCTCAGCGCTATGATTGTTTTTTAACAATGACACCCAGCCTAAGGCGTAGACTAACGGTTAGGTCTCTGAATATATAATTTTGATTGTAACAAATAACCCATTTAAAGTGAAAAGGAGCCCAAGGGAGACCAGAGATTGAACCTGGGGAAATCTAGACTTGCTTTATTTAGGGCTTTATCACTGCAGAAAGGCTTGGATGTAGGGAAAGTAGTATAGTTCAGGGACTGCGAGACAGACTACCTAAGGCGTTGTGAGGGTTGCGTCCCTTGGTCAGGCCAGGAAGCTATGATCATGGGTTCGATCCCCTGTTCGGTTCAGGTTTTACTCCCACATCAAGCTGACTGTGACATGAATGTTATACTGCTTAGATCGGTGTTCTGCCCAACTCGCAAGTATTACAGGTATCAGATTGTGAATAGGCAGTAAATGACATCTAAACATCGTCAAAACGGATTCTAAAACCAATTTATGAAAGTCTAAGTGTACTTTAGTAACCTTGTACAACATGCATGATATAAAGAAGTCCATATTCACGTGTAGTCAGACAAGTTTGATGCACAGCCACAGTGGCTGGTCAGATTGTCTATATACCAGCCGTTGAGAAATACGTTTTAATAGGGTTGAGTTAGTGCTTTAAACGAAAAGAATATCGACTCGACTGTTACCCTACAGGTTCGTCAACATTTCCTGGATTAAGGAAGTTCATCGCAGAGAGAAGCCATACTCGGCTTCTGGCGTTCCTTCATATAGCTTCCCATGGACTTGCGTCAGCGGGCTGTTCGGCAGGGGGTAGGTGCTTTACTAGTTGCCTTGAATACATCTCCTCAATCAATACTACATCCCCGATTGCATCTGATTTCCAGTCTGTTCTGCAATATACTCACGGCCTATTCGCTGTCACAGTTTCGGCTTGAGTACGTCCCTAGTGAGTGGGAGTGTAAAAAGGTATCTAATTCTGTACAAAATCCATTTTGATATTCATTAACTGTATTTGGTGTCAAACTGGTATGGATTACCTAGTATGACACACATTTTGGGAAGCTATGCCAAGTCCGATGATGTAAATCATGAGTGAGTGAGCTTAGTTTTACGCTGCGTATAGCAATATTCCAGCAATATCACGGTTAGGAGACACCAGAAATGGGCTTCACACATTGTACCCATGTGGGGAATCGAACCCGGGTCTTCCAACGCTTTAACGTAGATTTTCTAACTTTTTTTTGTTCCAACTGCCGAACTGTTAGCTAGCATTTGCAACATCTCAACTGCGAGTTTGTAACTCGAATGCATTATGTAAGCCGTCTTTCTCCGGATATTAACGATATTTTCGAAGGAAATAGATCTAAGGGCAATAACTTATGTAGTTTGTTTCCTGCCGAACTCTGGTATTCGTATCCATTCTTAGCAAAACAAGGATACCTGTACATCTGCGACAATAGTACGTGTACAGTGAGATAACTTCATGGAGAACGTATACAATGCATAAGACTATTTGAAGACAATTGGCACCGTCTTATCCGGAAGTGTTTGAAGGAAACAACATTTCTCTATAATTGTTATAGGCTCCATTGGAACGTTGGCTGACTAACGAACACAATTAGACTTATCACGATTTTATTGGTCATCAAACTTTTCATCAACTTGAATACTTCATTTCGAGAGAAAAGCAAACAAACAAACACTATACACAACCGTGTATTTGAATAGGTGATGAAATATATAAAATCAATTATTTGAACTTTAAAGTTCAAGTGTTCAGATCATATCTTTGTTTCCTGCTCACCTGGTGAAAACTGAGCCACTGGTTCTTGTTTAAGCGTACATGTAATTATAATTCTCTCCTCTTGACAGCCGCGGGTGGCGAGTGCGACCATCTGAACCAGGTGAATGTGTCCGAGTGTGTCCGATGTGTCACACAGAACACAGACATGATTGTGGGGGTCAAGGTCAGGGTGTCGCAGAGTTGCACAGACAATGGCAGGATAGAGGAGGAGGTATACAGGTAGGGACAGGTAGAGGAGTGGTATACAGGTAGGGACAGGTAGAGGAGTGGTATACAGGAAGGGACAGGCAGTGGAGTGGTATACAGGTAGGGACAGGTAGTGGAGCGGTATACAGGTAGGGACAGGTAGTAGAGCGGTATACTGACTGACTGACTGAGTTTGGTTTTACGCCGCTTTTAGCAATATTCCAGCAACATCACGGCGGGGGACACCAGAAATGGGCTTCACACATTGTACCCATGTGGGGATTCGAACCCGGGTCTTCGGCGTGACGAGCCAACGCTTTAACCACTAGGCTACCCCACCGCCCCTGTAGAGCGGTATACAGGTAGGGGCAGGTAGTGGAGTGGTATACAGGTAGGGACATGTAGTAGAGTGGTATACAGGTAGGGACAGGTAGTGGAGTGGTATACATGTAGGGGCAGGCAGAGGAGAGGTATACAGGAAGGGACAGGTAGTAGAGTGGTATACAGGTAGGGACAGGTAGTGGAGTGGTATACAGGTAGGGGCAGGCAGAGGAGAGGTATACAGGTAGGGACAGGTAGTGTAGTGGTATACAGGTAGGGACAGGTGGTAAAGTGGTATACAGGTAGGGACAGATAGTGGAGTGGTATAGAGGGAGTGGAGTGGTATATGGAAGAGGTATATAGATAGTGGAGTGGAATATGGAAGAGGTAGAGAGATAGTGGAGTGGAATATGGAAGAGGTATACAGATAGGGGCAGGTAGTGGAGTGGTATATGGACAGGGTATACAGGTAGTGGAGCGGTATATGGAAGAGGTATACAGGTAGTGGAGTGGTATATGGAAAATGTATACAGGTAGTGGAGTGGTATATGGAAGAGGTATACATGTAGGGACAGTTAGTGGAGTGGTATATGGAATAGGTATACAGGTAGTGACAGTTAGTGGAGTCGTATATGGGAGAGGTATACAGGTAGGGACAGTTAGTGGAGTGGTATATGGAAGAGGTATACAGGTAGTGACAGTTAGTGGAGGGTATATGGGAGAGGTATACATGTAGGGACAGTTAGTGGAGTATATGGAAGAGGTATACATGTAGGGACAGTTAGTGGAGAGATATATGGAAGAGGTATACATGTAGGGACAGTTAGTGGAGTGGTATATGGAATAGGTATACAGGTAGGGACAGTTAGTGGACAGGTGGTGGATAGATGTATGGAAGAAGTATACAGGTAGTGGAGTGGTATATGGAAGAGGTATACAGGTAGGGGCAGGTAGTGGGGTGGTACATGGAAAGGGTATATAGGTAGTGGGGTGGTATATGGAAGAGGTATACAGGTAGTAGTGTGGTATATGGAAAGGGTATAGAGGTAGTAGAGTGGTACATGAAAGAGGCATACAGGTAGTGAAGCGTTATATGGAAGAGGTATACGGGTAGTGGAGTGGTATAAGGAAGAGGTATATAGGTAGTGGAGTGGTATATGTAAGAGGTATACATGTAGTGGAGTGGTATATGGAAGAGGTATACAGGTAGTGGAGGGGTATATGGAAGAGGTATACAGGTAGTTGAGTGGTATATGGAAGAGTTATACAGGTAGTGGTGTGGTATATGGAAGAGGTATACAGGTAGTGGTGTGGTATATGGAAGAGGTATGCAGTTAGTGGAGTGGTATATGGAAGAGATATACAGGTAGGGGCAGTTAGTGGAGTGGTATATGGAAGAGGTATACCGGCAGGGACAGTTAGTGGAGTGGTATATGGAAGAGATATACAGGTAGGGGCAAGTAATGAAGTGGTATATGGAAGAGGTATACCGGTAGGGACAGTTAGTGGAGTGGTATATGGAAGAGGTATACAGGTAGGGGCAGGTAGTGGGGTGGTACATGGAAAGGGTATAGAGGTAGTCTGGTGGTATATGGAAGAGGTATACTGGTAGTAGTGTGGTATATGGAAAGGGTATATAGGTAGTGGAGTGGTATATGGAAGAGGCATACAGGTAGTGAAGCGTTATATGGAAGAGGTATACGGGTAGTGGAGTGGTATAAGGAAGAGGTATATAGGTAGTGGAGTGGTATATGTAAGAGGTATACATGTAGTGGAGTGGTATATGGAAGAGGTATACAGGTAGTGGAGGGGTATATGGAAGAGGTATACAGGTAGTGGAGTGGTATATGGAAGAGTTATACAGGTAGTGGTGTGGTATATGGAAGAGGTATACAGGTAGTGGAGTGGTATATGGAAGAGGTATACAGGTAGTGGTGTGGTATATGGAAGAGGTATACAGGTAGTGGAGTGGTATATGGAAGAGGTATACAGGTAGTGGAGTGGTATAATGAAGAGGTATACATGTAGTTTAGTGGTATATGGAAGAGGTATACAGGTAGTGGAGGGGTATATGGAAGAGGTATACAGGTAGTGATGTGGTATATGGAAGAGGTATACAGGTAGTGGAGCGATATATGGAAGAGGTATACAGGTAGTGGAGTGGTATATGGAACAGGTATACAGGCAGTGGAGTGGTATATGAAATCAGTGTGAAAGTAGGGACAGAGGGTGGTAATTGGAAGAGGTATAATGGTAGGAAGATGGTGGCTGGAAAATATAGACAGTTAAGAGATTGATGTGCAGTAAAATCCTTCACTACAAATAGGGCTTAAAGAGTTGCATCCCTTTAGTGATTTTGTTACTTCTGACCATTGAGACTGGAACTATTTCTATCCTGAAAACACTGTAGTTAGAAAGGTTCTTGACTGCCACTGATTGTGTTTCTTCAGGAGAGCTCTGGCCGCTTCAACCGAGAGCGGGGTCCCACTCATGGTGCACCACACCATATCCACAGTCCCAGTCGCAAGGGAAGAAGGTCAGTAGGGGCACTTAGGATAAAGAGGATTCGCAGGATGACAGTCAGTATAATGTTCCTGATTAGGGCTAGTAAATATTCTTAAACCGGATGTTCAAACATATTTCACCTTCATCCCAAAACATATGACTTCCCATTTCTGTTAAAAATGGCATATATGTCGCTCAGTTTCTTTAGCGAAATGGGAAGATTCGGGTTGGAATCTGTCTACAGCAACCCATGCTTGTCGTAAGAGTCGACTGACGGGATCAGGTGGTCAGGCTCGTTGACTTGGTGTACACATGTCATCATGTCCCAATTGTATAGATTGATTCTCATGTTGTTTGTATTTTACTTTCGGCAATTTATGAAGTGAATAAGGGGCAAATTTTTTTTTTAAAATTTGGGGAAAGTTTACATTTTGGGCCAATAAAAACATTAGATTTTATTTTTTGAGTGGGGAAAATGAAATTTTTTTTGTTCTTTTCCTTAAAAAATATGACCGGCGGATCTGTAAAACAAGAAATAAAATTGGTCTGGCCTAAGATTTTATATTTATCATATCTGTGACCACTTTCAGGCAAACTGTCCTGTCCTTTAGACATGAACCCTGGTGATATCTACACACATGCATTCATGCCCCATGTGTCGCACGATCCTCGACCAGGACAAGAAAGCTGTTCATCCTGATGTGTGGGAAGCCAGAAGAAAGGGGATCTATTTTGACATTGGACATGGCGCTGGTTCGTTCAGCTGGACAGTGGCCGAGATATGCACCCGCGAAGGGTTCTGGCCTGACACCATCAGCTCTGACCTCCACTGTGAAAATGTGGACGGCCCAGCATACGACCTTGCAACAGTCATGACCAAGATGTATGCCCTTGGCATGTCTCTCAATGATGTCATCGCCTCTGTGACGTCAAAACCTGCTTCCGCCATCAAACGGTCTGAATGTCTTGGATCTCTCCAGGTTTGATTCAAACATATTTCATTGAATATCAGTAGGATTAGCAATGTTGACATTAACTGTCCACTGGTCTTTGTAGCAGATTTTCTTCAGTACAAGATGAAGAAATGAGGTCTCAGTGGCCTAGACTGACTGACTGAGTTTGGTTTTACGCCAATTTTAGCAATATTTCAGCAACATCACGGCGGGGGACACCAGAAATGAGCTTCACACATTGTACCCATGTGGGGATTCGAACCCGGGTCTTCAGCGTGACGAGCCAACGCTTTAACCATTAGGCTACTCCACCGCCCCTCAGTGGCCTAGAAATATTTTGAGATTGAACAAAGGAATTTAAGTTTGTACAGCTTGTAAAATCAATGATAGATTGCCTCTGAACTTAACCGAAATAACCCTTCATGATATAGTGGAAATTTTCATCACTGTTTCAGGTTTAACTTGTCTTGTGTTACTGCTGTTTGGTTAAAAGTGAGCTTGTAGAATTTGAATGAAGTAATATGATCTAATACCTTGTACCTTGTTAGGTGAGCAGAAGTAGACTGACTGAGTTTGGTTTTACGCCGCTTTTAGCAATATTCCAGCAACATCACGGCTGGGGACACCAGAAATGGGCTTCACACATTTTACCCATGTGGTCTTCGAACCCGGGTCTTCGGCGTGACAAGCCAACGCTTTAACCACTTGGCTACCCCACCGCCCCGAGCAGAATTAGAAAATCCAACATGTCTGGTTTATTTTTTATGTGATCGTTTGAACCACTGACTAATTTTGGGCAGCGTCAAACACTAATCGAGAAAAGCATTTTAGTGACTTGATCCCTATTTTTCACAAGATTGGTTGATTGGTTTGTTGTATAACGCCGCACTCAGCAATATTCCAGCTGTATAGCAGCGGTCTGTAAATAATCGAGTCTGAACCAGACGTTGCAGTGATTTTTTTTCAAAAGAATTTTCATGAGTAGTGATCACTATAACAGTTCTGCATTATTTACAACAAACATTACTGGAAACAGACGCATACAATTATTTCATCTTTAAAAATAATTGTGTACAGCTTTGAAAAGAATTTTTTAATACTGATTTTGGGTTACCCAACAGAATAATATTAAGACCATTGTTTATGCCAAATTTGGAAACTCATGTAAAAGTAATGTATAAGATGTAATTGGAAACAATACAGAACATTTTTAGAGTCTGATCCCAACTTATTTTCTGCTCCTTATGATACTGATTGATGTGGATTCCAAATAGCATTATACCTGTCTGCAGGTGGGAAGGGAGGCTGATATCACCATGTTGAAGATTGAGGAATGTGACATCGACTTGGAGGACTGCTATGGTCAAGTTCGGAGGGTAAAGAAACGGATTGTTCCAGTCGGGGTCTGGCGAAACGGCAAGCGGTTTGACGTGTCACCAAATCCAAATTGTCCCAACATTGACAGTATCAAAAATGGTATAAACGCATGGGATGGCACTGATGTTCGGGATGCCACAAAACCCTCGTTGTCATAGAGTCACATGAATGTCATGAGATACAGAAAGTTATTTATATACTTATCAGCCATTATCTTATTACAGAGATAATCAGGGAGTCATTCTATTTGAGAAAACACAATTGTTTACGTTTGTTTCGATTACCATGCAGGATCTACCTCAACTCACAAACATGGAGGTCCCGGGGACCCCTAATTATTATTGCTGGCAATTTGCTTAACGCAATCCTATATTTTTTTACGTTTAGACATGAAAGATAAATTTCGGCGTCAAAAGTACATTTAAACATCTTATAATACAAACATTTACTGGAAAGTGATAACTTTTCAAACCATTCTTGCAAATAGATATCTTTTAATCTGCGTGTTAGTTCTAAAAGAAACTTACCCTCAGCATCAACATACTGATCGTTCCATACAAAACCAAACCCTTTCGAAAATAGAAAATTTCTAACAGAAGAAACCCAATTTGTGTGTCCATTTTTATCGAATAGCATCATCATATTGTAACATTTCTTTGGTAGCCTATAGGAAGGCATCTTCAATAATTTTAACCAGTATTTTATAACTCTGGGTATTTACCATATTCTCCATACACCATTGTATTCATCGTATTGGATTTAACACCAATTGAACTCTTTCGATATCATTGTAATAATTCAAACCCCATATTTCGGCTCCATACAATAAAATTGGCTTAATTTTGGCATCGAATATTTTAAAGTATGAACTTATATCTATGTTTCCAAGAACATTTAATTGTTTAAGGATACCTATCATGACATTTTGTGCTTGCAAACAAGCGTAATTAACATGTGCTGTCCAAGATAAACAATTACTGAAGAACATTCCCAAATATTTGTACGATCTGGTGCATTCTAATTCTTTCCCTTCATACAACCATTTCTCGTTTTTTTATAAACGTCCCCCCTTTTTAAAAGCTACTACTTTAGTTTTATTTCTATGTACAGTTAATTTGTATTTGTCACAATAATTCTCAAGTTCTTGTATAAGTCTTTGTAAACCTGCAAAAGTGCTTGAGAATAGCACGATATAGTCTGCAAAGAGCAGAAGAAAAATATGTACTAGGTCATTGGGTTGCTAATTCATTTATGAAAAATGAGAATAAAAATGGGCTAAGTATACAGCCTTGTCTTACCCCGAGTTGTAGTTCCAAAGAATCTGAGAATTCATTGTTATTCTTAACACAAGCTTTAACATTTTCAATATTGTGTGTCACTCTCTACATTTGTGTGTCACTGTACTGGACACACATTTGCATGTCGCGTAAAACCCTGACCATGATAAGATAGACAATGTGGTAGAACACTGAATTTGAGGCAATGATCAGCACAGCCATATTTTGTTCATTCCAGGTCTTGAGGAGAAATTATTATGGGACACATACAGAGTATAATTTTTGTGATTTTATATTGTGATACTTCTGTAATTCAGTACATCAGTACTTAAATATTCCTGTCAACGAGATCATTATTGATTGTATATTATTTTATTATTTAGTCATGGTATTACTTACTGGAATTTATAAATGTTTGATTTGTTTCATCATACAAACATAAAACATATTTATATTTGATCAAAGTGAAATAAATATACTGCCACGTTTATATTGATTTCTGATATTTATGCTCATGACTAAAATATTTTGACATTGCCACAACCAGCTACAAAACTGCTGATGGGGCATGAATCCATCATTGCTCTCGTCTATTGTTGTCTTTAGAGGTGACAGGTGATCCGACAGGTGACTTGGTTGATTGTGTGAAATTGTACCCAGTGAGTGAGTGAGTTTAGTTTTACACCACTTTTAGCAATATTCCTGCAATATCACAGCAGGGGACACCAGAAATGGGCTTTACACATTGTACCCACGTTGGGAATCGAACCCGAGTCTTAGCGTGGCGAGGGAACGATTTAACCACTAGTCTACCCCACTGATTCCACACAGGGTGGCTAATTATTCATAGTTTCACATACTTGAAAAGCCGGCCAAAACATGCTGAAAACATCTACATGCTTGGCACTGTATGTATGTTTCAGCATGGTGCCACATTGGCAGATGAGGAATATGCGAATTGATCATCTTTGAGTTCATGCATGCTTTTTATTTGTTTTCTTAAGGCCAATCATTTTTATTTCGTGTTTTACAGATTTTTGTTCTCAGAAAACGTAAAGGCAGGAGGGGAACAAAAATCACCAGTTGAAGCAAAAACCCTCATGAGTGTTTCAAAAGGCATTGTTTTTCAAGTTCACACTTGCTGAGGTGCTCCAAGCACTGATTTTTAACACAATGTTGTTAGATAATTCAGTTTAAAGTCTCTAAGAACAAATACTGGTGCTTAAGTGTTGAAGTCGAAATCTCGCACCGTATATCTTATCATTAGAGTTTTATTTCTTGAGTGGGGAATTTTCTTTTTTTTTTATATTCTTCTTGAAAAAATATGACCGGCGGATCCGTAAAACAAGAAATAAAATTGGTCTGGCCTAATAGAAAAATGATGATGACATTTTTGGGTAGGATATTCACTAGGAGTCATAGGAATATGGCTGCAATGTATGAGCCAAGAAAACTCGTCTTACTTGAGAATTCAGTGCAGGTTTGTGTAGAGGAATAGGTTTGACCTATTATCAAAACAGGTAACACTCAACTTTGTTCTGGGTTATTTTACCAACATATATTTTACATCAACACTTTTGTGAAAATTCATTTTGTATGATTGAAATACTGTTTGCTATGATGGCGAGCCTGTGAAGACACTGTCAGGGTGAAGGTCATTAACCAAGTCAATATTACATGAACCTCCTGTAAAATACTGTCAGTCAGCAAGAAGGGGGCAGGGAGGAATGTCTGTTTCTCGATGATTTCAGCTGAAAAATACGAGCACCTTTGGTGTGACGAGGGAACACTTTATCCACTAGGCTACCCCACCACCCTTTCCTGCAAAAGACTGACTGACTGGGTTTGGTTTTACGCCGCTTTTAGCAATATTCCAGCAACATCGCGGCGGGGGACACCAGAAATGGGCTTCACACATTGTACCCATGTGGGGATTCGAACCCGGGTCTTCGGCGTGACGAGCCAACGCTTTAACCACTAAGCTACCCCACCGCCCCTTCCTGCAAAAGAGGTCTGTGGAGGTTGTAAATATGTCACACAAGCAGATGGGTGAGTGAGTGAGTTTAGTTTTACGCCCCACGGTCTGTAAATAATCGAGTCTGGACCAGACAATACCAGACTTGCATGAAAGAACTAATTCCTCGGAAGACTCAAATAAAACTTCAACACCAGAACAATATATGATAAAGATTTATTTAAGTAACATAGTGATACTAGGAGGAAATACCATTGTCTTCAGTGGAAAACTAGTCAGCAAGAACCTGCTTGCTTACAAGAGTATCTATAACAGCATATATTTAACCATAAACAGACCTGTACACTATTAACATTTATACACCTTTAACCACAAGCACTCGTCTAGAGGCAACAACTCATGAAATCTGGAAAATGCATAGAGCATGTGAGGTTTGAATACAAAAATAGATGTATGTAATTGTCAAGGTTTTCATAAGGTTTGATTAGGTTTGTATAAAACATAAATCACATCTATTTCCAATGAAATATATATACTTTCAAATTATCTGTACAAAATTCATATGAATCCAATAACAGGCCTTGTCGGAGATTATTAATCCTGCTAAATGATACAGCTCATTGCCATTCTGATGTATTCAACGTTGGTGGATCGGTAATGTTTTCTGATGGCATGAATATCATCATAAATAATGTGCTGCAAACTTTGTTGTTGTTTTCTGGACATAAAAAGGGCATCAGGACAATTTAATGATTGTGTAAAACATTGACACCTGGTGGTCTTGAAAAGTCATTATGTTGGTGTCTTCGTCTGCTGACGACTAGAAGTTCAGAAGACATAGTAACCTTTGTTAACGGATACAAAGTCATATCTGTGTTAATTGTCCCACCTTTCAATGACATATTCAGTTGTGACACCCTTAAGTCATGTGATAAATTAGGATCTGGAAGCCTTTAGGTATATGTCAATGATAACCTTTCAAGTACAATCAAGGCTACATTGGCACTTAACCATACATGTTTAAAGGTCATTATTGAGTGATGTGTTCACCAGAAAGTAACCTGTAACAAAGAATCATCAGGTTTAAAGTCAGCCAATCACGTTCCAGCAAAAGTCGGTCCTGTCCAAAGTAGCTGCAATCATCTATGACTTTGTTTGTTTGTTGTTCTACACTGCACTCCAGCTATATTCCAGCAATATTCCAGCTATATGGCGGCGGTCCCTAAATAATCGAGTCTGGACCAGATGATCCAGTGGTCAACAGCATGAGCATCGATCTATGTAATTGGGATAACAGACCAAGACTCTGGTACATATACAACTTGAGGCCAAGAGTGAGAGAGTTTAGTTTTACGCCGCGCTCAGCAATATTCCAGCTATATGGCAGCGGTCTCTAAATAATCGAGTCTGGACCAGATGATCCAGTGGTCAACAGTATGAGCATAGATCTATGTAATTGGGATAACAGGCCAAGACTCTGGTACATATACAACTTGAGGCCAAGAGTGAGAGAGTTTAGTTTACGCCCGCACTCAGCAATATTCAGCTATATGGTGGCGGTCCTAAATGTCGAGTCTGGACCAGATGATCCAGTGGTCAACAGCATGAGCATCGATCTATGTAATTGGGATAACAGACCAAGACTCTGGTACATATACAACTTGAGGCCAAGAGTGAGAGAGTTTAGTTTTACGCCGCACTCAGCAATATTCCGGCTATATGGTGGCGGTCCCTAAATAATCGAGGTGGGGACCAGATGATCCAGTGGTCAACAGCATGAGCATCGATCTATGTAATTGGGATAACAGACCAAGACTCTGGTACATATACAACTTGAGGCCAAGAGTGAGAGAGTTTAGTTTTACGCCGCACTCAGCAATATTCCGGCTATATGGCGGCGGTCCCTAAATAATCGAGTCTGGACCAGATGATCCAGTGGTCAACAGCATGAGCATCGATCTATGTAATTGGGATAACAGACCAAGACTCTGGTACATATACAACTTGAGGCCAAGAGTGAGAGAGTTTAGTTTTACGCCGCACTCAGCAATATTCCAGCTATATGGCGGCGGTCCCTAAATAATCGAGTCTGGACCAGATGATCCAGTGGTCAACAGCATGAGCATCGATCTATGTAATCGGGATAACAGACCAAGACTCTGGTACATATACAACTTGAGGCAAAGAGTGAGAGAGTTTAGTTTTACGCCGCACTCAGCAATATTTCAGCTTTATGGCGGCGGTCTCTAAATAATCGAGGTCTGGACCAGTCAATCCAGTGATCAACATCATCAACATTTGGGTACGATGACATGTGTCAACCAAGTCAGCGAGCCTGACCACTTCATCACATTTGTAGCCTCTTACAACAAGCATGGGTTGCTGAAGATCAGTTCTAACGTCTATGACGATGTAGAACAATCACACTGCCCGTTACACCTGTGATTGTGGACAACAGATTCCCTGTTGATTCAACAGGAAGAATGAGGAACTATCGACAATTTCTGGAATTCTTTGAGGAAATATGAAACAAATATACTCTTGGAAATTGCTTACTACAACAAGATAAATTTTAAGTTTCTCATCCTAAACCTAACTAACAATAACAACTAGTTATCAGGTTACTAGTATATGAAACAATAATTGGTAACAAATACACATGTAACAAATTAGATAAATGATCTCAACATTTGTTGTAAATGCAGTAAAAATATAAGAAACCCTCTCCCCTGAAATACTCAAATTGTTTCCTATCAACTAATATTGAAAAGCAGATCAATAAAACGCTATAAAAATATCCCACCAGCTGATGCCAGATCTAAATCATATGGAATTCAAGAAATGTAATCAGTAGCATAATCCGATTACAAACAGATGTTACCATTTACCTGCTAATTAATCCAGCATCCAAATACGAATGACCAACACACGTCTGTTTGCACTGGCTTCGTGGCAAAATGTCAAAGTACCATTGGAATCCATTAAATGAACATAGCATCAGCCGGGATTACAAGTCCATTTGAGGATTTGGTCTTGAAATTGATAACGTGAATAGTGCTGGATAAAAGAGCTGTGGGATTTGTCAGTAATTGGTTACAGTGTTATCTTTAAAATTGATGGCTGTCTTTTCTTCATGTATCAAGTCTGGGTGGGAAAATACGTCGGCTTACTTTACTGGTCTGACATGTTGCCAAGAGACTTGGATTGCTTAGTAATGGAATAGTCTCGCCTGTGATAAAATCTTTTTAGAAAGAATATGTTTGTGGTTCATAAAATTTATTTTTCAACATTTGCTACTTTTTTTCAAAAGGTGGCACACCTGTTTGTGAGCAGACGTCTGTGAATATCGTTTCTTGATTATTTAAAATATGATCAAGCAGAAGTGACCTGAGAAATTACATTCACTTATCCAAGTTTTGACACAACTGTAAATTGATGACTAAACAAAATACATATAAAAACTTTCGGTTGCCTACAGTGTCAGACTGTCCATTATATACATAATGTTTCTAAATGTCCGTTGTTATCTCCCTTGGTTCAGATAACCAATTCCCTTCATAATGACCAGACCAAAACCTTCTTAATGTAAGCCATTATTGACTTGATTAAATATAGTACAACCATCTGAAAATACCCCCCCAGCGTGACAATGACAATGAAATTTCATACACTCTGTATTTCATTGAATCATGATATCCAGGTTGTAAATAGTTGTCAAGCAGGTTTCTGAAAATAGCACACAACCTGAATATAACGCCTGTTACAACAGATATACCGGTATCTATTTCGAAGTCATGTGTTTATAACTGTCATGTTTTCATTCATATGAATTGCCTGTTACTAGATCTATGAAGTGCTTTTCGTGCACAGCATTCCCCATTGTGAATATTCTGACAAAGTGTTAATGCCGCTTATAGCAATATTCCAGCAATATCACGGCGGGGGACACCAGAAATGGGCCTCACACATTGTACCCATGTGGGGAATCGAACCTGGGTTGTCTGCATGACGGAGTGGTCGCTTTAACCACAAGGCTACCTCACTGCCCCTGACAAATGACGAAACCTACAACACAACCACAAATTTACCTAGGAGTTGTTAACTGGAATTTAATATTCTTGACAATTTCATGGGATCATCACAAGAAGCACTCTTTAGGACAGGTTTTGGGAAAGAGTTCCTCCCATTCCCTCATATTTTTTTGGGTAACATTACCGCAGATTAACAGACATGATTCGACCCTATATATTGTAATGAATTTTGGGGCTTTTAGTTATTTTTGTGAGTTCTTTAGTAATTGTTGCGTTAGGTTTTGTTAATAATTTTAGTATATATTCATTTCTAAATATTATTTGGGATGGGGAAATGGGAGGAACTCTGACCAGGTTTTGAAATTCAAGCAGGAAATAGTGGAGAATAAGTTAATTTTCACAGCAAATTACTGAATAATGATAATAATCATAACATATTAAGCAAAACTAAAAAAAAGCAAGAAAAAACCCTTGCCTAAAGATACATTTAACATTAGATCATTTAACATTTCCTCAAAAGATCAACTTGTTAGTCAAAGGTCTAGTATATTCTCAAAGCATTTCAGATTCACAGTAAACTGCGGACTTGCTATAGTTTCCAAGGTGAAATGACAAAGGGAAAATGGCTAAATGAGATTTCCTAGTTATGACCAGACCTAGCTATCTCTATTATTAATGCATCAAAATGTGAAAAGAAATAAGAATGTGATAACTGTGGTTATAAAATTTCAACATTTATAAATTACAGTGAATTATAACTTGACAATATGTTAAAATAATGTGAATGTAACTTTAACGTTTACACAAGTTTATTTAAAAATTCACATGACACTAGCAGGTTGAAAGGATGTAAGGCTTGTGATCTTCGCCTTCCAGCATCTTTTGTAGTGACATGTTCACCGTCAGTGTGAGACCCGTTTGTCAGGTTCGTTTTTTCCTTAAAAGCCACTGGCGCTATCTTTCATCTTTTACACTTGATATTAGCATTACAAATACACGACTCTCTCTGTGAGATTATAAACAGCCTTTGAGGTACAGACTTACAGATTCAGTTTCATGTTGGTGGTTGGGTAGTAGGGAGCAGTCTGGGATTCTGAATATTTTCGACTGGGAGATTCTTTTGTCTTTCACCTGCCTAATGTAGCACCTCAACAAAACAGTTGTGATTTCCAAACATATTCAATGGTTACATATTGACAGAATTGCTAAATTTAGTTTCAATTTAGTTTTTTATGAATTCCTGAAAACTTGCCATAAACAAGTATGTTCTTAAACCATATCCTGAGTTCCTATATTAGGGCAACATTTTTATTTTTTGTGTTTCTCATCGTCTGACTGACCCTTGTAATTTTATGAGTTGAATTTGTTTTCAGAAATCAAGGGTTATTAGGCAAGAATTAAAAATCTGTATTGTACACACAAAAAATTCATTGGTCTATACATTTGTCTTCCAAAATGTCCTGATGATATTTTATGAATTTCATTAGGACAGAGATCAATATCCTGTCAAAATTTAACACAATATTGCCATTTGTCTCTGACAAAATATTTGGCAGGTGTTTAGCATGGCAAAAGATAATTGTTTTCCTGACAAAGAGGATAACTGGATCTATTTGTACCATCCAGCCACAACACAACACCAGAAATGGCCCTCACATTGTAAATACATGGCAGATCAAATGGTCTATTGACGTACATCATAATCACTGGTCATAGGATCACAAACTGTCATTATCTGTAAGCATCAATATGAACTTGACGGAAAACAAACACATGGTTTGGAAATATTTAAATACTATCGAAAGACACCAGTTAATGTATTTATCAATAATATCAAACTGGTGAAACAATGAGAACCCTAAACGAAGATCACAACTTCATCTATAAAATATTTATCAAGCCATAAACTCAGTTGTTACAAGGTCATGTCTGACATGGAGATTCATCAACAGATGCTAAACGACCCTTGACACAATTTATCATCAGTATCCATGAAATTTGAGTGTAAATTAAATAGTAGAAAATAAATGTTTTGACAGATTAAAGAGGTGTGTAATACTATAACTTGATGTAAGACTGTATAAGACTCCTTATCAACATACAAAGATTACCTAAAATGTAAATAACTGTAAAGATGTTAAACATTGTCTGATTCTGAGATATTACTGGAGTTAAACTGTCTTATCAGTTGGGTAAACTGTCTTATCAGTTGGGTAGTGAGTTAGTTTACATTTTACACCGCTTTTAGCTATATAATATTCGAGCAACATCACGGTTGGGGACACCAGAAATGGCCTTTACACATTGTATCCATGATGGGAATCAAACCCGGGTTGTTGACATGATGGGCGAACACTTTAACCACTAGGCTAGCCTACCGCCCCTCAGTTGGGTGGTGTACATGAGATTAATGCAGATGCTGTGAGGAAGATCATGAAAACTGGACAATGAAGTTGAGGCTCCTCAAAACGTTCTTGTTCCCACTCATTCAGATGAAATTTGGGTTGCAGATGCATAGAACACAGAGTCTTGGAATAACACTGTCAATGGCTCAACCAATTCTCTTCTAGTAATCTAAATGGTGATAGTCTAGCATTAAAATAATTGACAGCCTGGGATTTCAATCTAGATGTTAAGTTCCAAGGTATTTGCCAACAACAGGTGTGAAACAGCACACACTTATGAGACTGGCATATTTTACAAGTGTACATGATAAAGTGTTTCAAAAGACCAGCTGGCGTTATTATACAGGCCTCATAAATATTCATAAGCTTTCATACAATGCGATATTCTATGGTATGTCTTCCTGTTTCTATTTTCATAAATACCTCAGCCATTTGGATGAGTAGTATTGCTTTATACAGCCATCTAACAATCAGGCCCAAACAGAACAACTTATTGAACCAACATACATGGACACCACATGGGGTTCTTGGTAACCATAGTAACAACTTTCTGTTATTCACAAGTTTCAACTTGGTACTCTCATTTGTAAATCAGTACTTATGGTGTAGTCAAAGAGATCTGGGTAATTTTTTGGAGTTTCAAACTGTCAGTGCTTAGACAAGAAGCCGAGTGCTTGCCAGTAATACTTGGGTTTACATTCCAGAAAGGTGTTTAATCCTGTACAAAATCCGATTTGGTATTCATTTATTTCATGTATTTGATAATAAAATGGTGTGGATGATTACCTTCCAACATGACAATCATGGCAGCTTTGTTGTCACTGATGATTGAATAAAAGATCAATTGTTTTCTGCTTAAACAGATCTGAACAGATTATTGTAAAATATTGACCTATTTCTTGGGTATTTCTTGAGATTAGTGAGGAAAACAATGTATATGAAAGTTCAGTATACAATAACAATCTGCAGTTGTTTCATTTCTAACAGTTCAGTTACACTTTTATCATTAACATTTCAAGGTCACACTGGCAAAAAGCAATACCAGTATTCCGAACTAAGGGGTTCCTCTTGTCTTCTGTCGTCAGTACTAAAACAATTTTCAATACCCTAGTTTTAACTCCGGGTTCTGACCAGGGGCTCCTTTCATGTAGCAACCTTTACTAAGGTAAGACTTAACTCCCATTCTTTAACATTGCACTAAGGTTACCTTAGTGACTTACGATCACCTTAGTGCTTTGTGAAAGGAGGCCCAGGACAATCGTAGCACAAAGCTGACTTAACTGCCATTCTTTAAGGCTTACAATGCTAAGGTCACTATTTGCAAATAGGCCTGAATATAATAACTAAGATTTCACTGTATAACAACCTGGAGTCAAATAATTCTCCTTATTCCCTCTTCGATGTTATTTTGTATAAAAATGAGATTTCATCCAACTGAATCCACAAGAGGAGCATCACAAATCCACCAGTACGGCTGGACACTGAGATTCCCCCATCCAGGATTGTGGACATACACCAACACGGTCAGGTCCTGGAAGCTTGCCATTGGATAGACTGAGACAATATTCTCAGCTAAGGCACAACACTTGCTTGTAGACTTTGTATCAGCACGTATCCTATAGTTGTTGTATATATGTGTCAGAAGGTTACACTGATCTAAATATCCACATCCACAGGAGCTGGTAAATATCAGGTCTGTGTATAGATCCACATCCATACTGTATGCACAGGAACTTCAGTATCAGTGCTAAGGTTTCATCACTGACACTGTAGAGAAATGCTTGTGTTACATCCACAGAATAATGAGGAATATATCCACAACGGAATAACCTGGCACTAGAATATCCACAGATGAACTCAGCTTGTACTAAGCTATCACAGAACTTCATTGCATATACACTGAAATGCAACATTTAGTATTCACAAATATTTCACAATGATAAACATATATTCCATGAGGCGTCACCTACAATCGAATCCATTCTTCTTTCTCTATATCATCAACAACTATTGCCGGAATGTATGACATTGGTTGGTTAACGTCCTTGACCTTTGAGGTTGATTTTCCCTGCATGGCAGCCACGGCTGACTGACTGAGATTAACTCCCTTGTAATCCATTTTAGCATCACTGCCATTTTCTGTGTTACTCTCAGCATCATCTGCAACTGGTTCCATACCCAGCTCACAATCATCGAAGTCGTAGTAATCCCAGACAGGAGTTTCTGGTCGTGATGGACTTGGAGAAGTGGCAGATTCTTCCAGATTTCCTGAACCGGGGACTGAGCTCAGGGCATTTTCCATCTCAATCTCCATGTCACCGTTGAATTTCGGTGGCTTAATTTTCTTGAGTTTGTGATTTGAATTTGCACTCTGATCCCCTGAACCCACATTCACCGCACAATCCTTTCCCTTCTTTTCCTGACCTTGAACTTTGACCTCCTCCAATTGACCTGGCAACACACTGGCAGGAATGTCTATGCTACTGAAATCAGGTACAATTTTTCGCTTGACCTTGACCTCATCAAGTTCAGGTTCAAAGTCAAAATCATGAGACCCGTTTAGCATTTTAATGCACGTTGAAGGCACTTTCTCACCATGAATAGTTATTCCATTAAGTTCAATATCACTGGCCGATCTGGCGGCTTGAGGCACAGACAAGGAATCTCCCTTACCGAAGTCTTGCAACATTGGGGAGCTGTAAAACACTCCAAAGCTACTCTCCAATTGCAGTTCACTGGCACTGTAAACTTTCATGTTGTTAGGGATCGTATAATTCATGCATGGTATTAAGGGATACTTTTCTCGTATAAGCTTCTTCACTGCAAGCTTGAGTGGCAAATTGATCATCGCAACCAAGAAAATCCGCTTTGTGTACCTTTGAGTCATACAGACTTCGATTTGAACGCTTCGTTCGTTGATGATTTCTTCTGTGACTCCAGTGTATTGAAGCGGCATGGCAAAGTGGAAGTTGGATGGCATGAAGACATACTGGATTCCTGGATTCTCTGCAGAACGGTTGGATGCTACGTGAGCCTCGCTGGGAGCGACCTTAACCTCCTCTGTCCGCCTGTTGGTCTTCTTGGGTTTGTCTGGGATGAGATAACTCCGCACAAAGATGGTGTTGATCATCGATGTGTGGGCTGAAAAATATACAATATAATATCAAAACTACTGTAAGTATTGTCATCGCATATTCAGTCAGTCAGTTGGATTTTACGCCACTTTTAGCAATATTCCAGCAATAACATGACAGGGGACACCAGAAATGGGCTTCACACATTGTACCCATGTGGGGAATCAAACCTGGGTCTTCGATGTGATGAGTGAACGCTTTAACCATTAGGCTACCCCACTGCCCCTCATCGCATATTGTGATACTGATGTATTGATAAATGTTAAATGTCGACATTGTATCTACCGTATATCGTGGCTACAAAGCGACCCCACACATAAGGTGCCCCTCATCCACATGACCCATATATAAAACTTCAAAATTGATCAAAATTTTATACCCTGTCTATAAAGCGACCTTAACAAAGCACATCATCAGTCCATATATTCCAGCAATATCACGGCGGGGGACACCAGAAAGGTTTTTCATATCATGCTTAGAATGAAATTGGGTAAGAGTTCCGCCCGTAACCCCCGCTTGAAATGTATACTATTTATAAGGATTATTTTGAGGTTTTAGGGTTAGGGTTAGGGTGTGGTTTAGATTTAGGGTAAGGGTTAGTGTTAAGGTTTTTTGATAAAAAAATGTTCTTAGGTATAGAATGATAAAATAAAACTGGGGTTATGGCTGAAATCTTTCCTGAAATTGTTGACAGAGAAGAATCCATTTCAAGCACTGAAGAAAGTGAAACAAAGAGAGTCTATTTCCTGTAATTTAATCATTAATTATCTAAGTTTCAATTCACTGGAAACTACAAAGCTTATAATTCAATACCACAGACATGGTCAAGAAGGACAACCAGAAAGCATAACATTCAATATTTTAACATTCTGATGGACAAGCCTTCATATTTAGCATCAAGTTAGACTTATTTTATCTTACCACAAACAGAATAGCTAATTTTGTAGTTCAGTTGTACACATATTAAGAAATCCATGTGAGGAGATTGTCACTGATTTGTTTACCAGGGACACAAGTTTCCATTGTCTATGTTTGAGAGTGGCAAGCTGACAACAAAGGGGTGTTACATAATTGTAGCTTGGCTATTTGTGTTTTTCCAGCCAGATGATCACAAAGTGTTCAGTTCAAATGTTGGGGGTGGATGCGAAGGAATGTGCCATGTTGGAAGGGAATGAAGCTAAAACTTGAATATGCCACGCCGCATGTTGTGAACGAAGTACTTTGTGCCTCAGATTTCATTATGATGGATTTATGTGATGATATTCAGTGGATCTTGTTGGGGCATGAAGGATGATTTATCAAGAAGTAAGACTTTTAACTGTTTTTTACCGATACTTGCTTATTATTATTCATGTACCACATGTAAAATATAGTATTAAATTGAATCGAGTATTAAACTGTTCCTTGATTGTTGTGTGGGTAAGAGTTCCGCCCGTAGCCCCCGCTTGAAATGTATGCTATTTATTATTGTTATTTCTAGGGGGTTAGGTTTAGGGTCTAGATTTAGCATTATGTTAGGTTTATGGTTAGGTTTAGGGTCAGGGATTGGGTAAGCTTTCTATAAAAAATCATCTATTCTTAGGCACTGATTAATAAAAAAGCGGGGTTTACGAGCAGAACGCTTTCCGTTGTGTGATCTCGCTTCGTTATGTATGGAGACCATGTTCTGGATCCCCTCGGAAACTTTCAAGCTACAATATTTGCTTTATGAAGAATTTAAACACATAACGTTGCCAGTACCAAATATCATTGATGTTTATTAATACCAGATGATGTTTCTACAAATATAATTTGTGTTTGAATTACGTCTTGTAAGTGCTCATGTCCAGAGTGTTGCAAATCAGCATGCATAGCAGCAATGATGAAATAAATGTCTCCTGACAGGAGCCATTTGGCACATGCAAAATATATATCATATCATAGACAAATCATGCACCTATTAAGATTTGACTTCAATTCTACATGACTTGGTTGACACGTCATTGTATCCCAATTGCGCAGATCGATGCTCATGCTGTTGATCACTGGATTGTCTGGTCCAGACTCGACTATTTACAGACTGCCGCCATATAGCTGGAATATTGCTGAGTGCGGCATAAAACTACACTCGCTCACTCTAGCATGTGGGGAATGTCTGATATAATCAACGAAATTTAGTTTCAGGACAGAAATTACATTGCCAATCATAATGGCACAGATAAAATATGTTTCTGAAGCCTAAGGGGCTCACTTGGAATTCAATTTGAATATATTATGTTTATGACATGAGACTATAGATAAAAATCTCTTCAATTCAGTAAACACAAGGAAAATGAAGATGATATAGAATACATGCTAAAGGCCGACTGATTCACAAAATAACCCTGGTGACTCAGATACTGAAGAGGGATATCAATATAAGGATGGGGAAACTGGTTCACTGTGGGGGGGAGGGGGCTGTTGCAGAGGGGTGGGTGGTGGTGGGTGACATTCACCAAGTTGGTGATCGGAAGTATTGTTCTTGTTGGCAGACTTAAATTCCAAAGGTCACATCTGAACATTGCTCTGAGTGCCCTGTGGTTGTGCCATCCTTGACAGACATTGCATTTGTATCCCAGGGGTTCAAAATAACTCAGCATGCATAAGGCTGCATTAAACATGACAATGTAAGGCCACACCAATTTTATTTCTTGTTCTACGTATTTTTTCAAGAATAAGAAAACAAATAAAAATTAATTTTTCCCCGCTCACAAAATAAAATCCTAACGTTAATGTGTTTTTATTGGCCAAAAATGTAACCTTACAAGAAAAAATGTTTTGGATTGTTTTTTGACCCATATACACTTCATAAATTGCCAGAAGCAAAATACTTTTAATATTTAGAAGGAATATTACTTTAACTGGAGATTTTATTTTTATTAGATTTTTCTGAGGTCAAAAATCTGTAAAACAAGAAATAAAATTGGTCTGGCCTAAGTGTCACATTTTCTGACAATGTCGTTGTTACCCTTTTCTAAAACTGAAGGAATTTCACTCCACTGAATATATATGTGAGAACAGGACCAATTATCAGCTCCATATCCCTTCATGGCTCAGTCAAGGAACTTTCATGCAAAGTGCAGCATCTTAGACCACTGGACTACCAAGAACTGGGTTAAGTCTGGGTACATATACCTTGTAAAACTGTTCAATTTGTTTTTCTTGATAGATGATTGAAAATCTAGGTTTAATAGAGCCAAGGGATATTGTTGTGGTATGGTATTTTGTACACAATCTACAGGGCCATTGGCTAGCCTTTAATAATTGCATTGAACATGTAGAACATGTGTTCACTGTGGCCATACCAAGTGCAAGATGGACAGGGTAACGTCAGTGAAATGTCTTGTAAAACTGTTCAATTTGTTCATTTTTGACAGGTGATTGAAAATTCAGGTTTTATAGAGCCTAAGGATATATATGTGGTATGGTATGTCTATCTACAGGGCCATCGGCTAACCTTTAATGGCAGTATTAACATGTAGAACATAGTTCACTGTGGCCATACATTAGATTCCTTGGTTTAGAGATTTGACTGTAAAAATCAAAAATACAGAAAAAAACCACAATGACAAATCTTTTTAAAGCTGCAGAAAGCAAATATCACATGACAATAAGAATATTCCAAGGTAGTTTTTTTGACAAAAGCGAATGTGATTGTCTTCTATAACCTACTGATTCAAATCTGATTAAATAAATCATGTACGATGCATTCTATTTTTATTTTTCTAAATCGGCCAACACAATTTTCCACTTTCAAACTTTGAAAACCAAAGGAATGAAATGTTGGCCTAACCTGTTTAATGCTGACATTAATGGAAAAATGGCTGCCATTAAACTGCACTGACTATGCAGAGAATGTCAGTAAGTTGACTAATTAACTGATTATGACAAGATGATACATGGTGATGTTTATTAACATTCTGGTATGACATTTTCAGGCTTCTATTTACGAGTATCATCACTGAATACATACAAACATTAATTCTGAATTGTTCAACAGTTCAGAAATGACAAAATCTGATGAACAGGCATATAGGTTTTAGCAAGAAATTAAATATATATTGATAGGTGTAAAATATGATAACATATTTGACAATCCAAAAATAAAAATGTTTGTTTCATGTTTTATGTCCACAAAAAATATGTACTAGTAGAAAATTTCTTATAAAAACAAAGGCTATTTCATAAAAATACACTTATCACAATTTGTTTGCTTTATTGTTTTTTAATGTTTATTTTGGTAACAAGTATTACTGCTAGTAATGGTAGAAAAATTGCTTTATTTGTTTGATAAATTGAGCTTGTATTTCCATTTTTGTTGGGAGTTCTGAAATCTGCGGTCCATTGACAGTCCGTCACATGTACAAGTAACCCAAACTCAGATGATCAGGACTTGAACACCTCAGGGACATAACTCTGCAAAGCATTACATTATGGCCTTCACCTTAGAAGACTGAAACACTCATTAGTCAATATTTTCAACAATATCCTAGCAGTATCATGGCAGGGGACACCTGAAATGGGCTTCATACATTGTACCAACATGGGAATCAAACCCAGGTCTTCAGCATGATGAGAGAGACTGAAACCACTAGGCTACCCAAATGCTCTCAACAATGTATTGATTTACTTGACAATAAATGTCTTGAGCCCTTTTCACAAACCAATCTTAGTATTGTGACTAGCCTGGTTCCATATTCCAACAAACACTTCCAAAACATGTGAGTGAGTGAGTGAGTTTAGTTTTACGCCGCACTCAGCAATATTCCAGCTTTATGGCGGCGGTCTGTAAATAATCGAGTCTGGACCAGACAATCCAGTGATCAACAGCATGAGCATCGATCTGCGCAATTGGGAACCGACGACATGTGTCAAACAAGTCAGCGAGCCTGACCATCCGATCCCGTTAGTCGCCTTTTACGACAAGCATAGTCGCCTTTTATGACAAGAATGGGTTGCTGAAGACCTTTTCTACCCCGGATCTTCACGGGTCTCCAAAACATGTAGCACTAAGATTCATTTCAGGAAGATGGACCACTTAGTGTAACCTCATCAATCTGATCTGACGATGCCACATCGTGACTGGACACAAGTGTGGACAGACTGACCAACATAGTATCTATTTGGTCAAAGGATGTAAAACCACAGTGGACATGACACAAGGCAGGACCTCCAGTCACGCCTGGACATGTGCTGGACCTCATCCATATGTCCTGCCTGTGTTGGGAGAGCAGACGGCATGACCAGAAAATACAGTGTTGCAATTTAAGCATGAAAGTCAAAGGGTCCTTGTCATAAAACAGTAGTTCCAAGATTAACATGCTGTAACAGCACTGAAACAACTGAAACAATCGCACATTGGCTGCTTTTATAACTTTCCTTTCTTTGATGCTTGATTGCCATTTTAGAAGATGCTATTTAATGAACATAAAGAATTTCTGGATTTCAATGAATATTCAAAGCATACAAAAAGGTGAAATCCAGAAAATTCCTTATTTCCTTTCTTCATTAATTTTGAAGGTAGATGTTTATATATTTGAGTACATTCAATAACAAATTTGCATATGTGTGCAATGAATCCCCAATGAATATTTAACTTTGATAAAATGTGCAGTGACTTTCAGTATCTTTTGGTCACATTATCGTCAGACATTTGGAATGTAATTTGTAAAAGAATATTCAGTTTGTCTTGTACTTACGTGGGGGGAGGAGGAGGTCACTGATCTGCCACACCCTGATCTTGAGTGACCCCTTGTGGACATGGTACTCAAATGACAGGTGCAGGTGCCCCATGGCTGAAACAGACAATACTAATTAGTATCACGCGTATCATATTAATTATTAAATGTAAGAAAACACAGCCTGGTTCCACAAAGTGGCTCTACAATGAGATTGAGTTGGGGAAGAAGGCAAACAGTATGTACAGATAGAACTAGGAATTCACATGCCGTGGAAATTAACATACCAAAAGAGTTCTTTATTACGAATGAAATAAGAAGTTTTACTGTCAAACAATTTCACTGTCTATTGGAGACAGGTTGACATTGCCAGTTGGAAAAAAAGTGAGATATTCCATCCTGGGTAAAAGGCGACCCCCTTTCTCAGCCCCCCTCATTTCAGGTACGAAAAACTCACCTTGTACACAGCAATATATGGTAATTGAATACATAGTTCTCTTTCAGTCACTGGTTTCAGGCTTATTTGTATATAATGTGACCAGACCATATCAATTATTAAAAGACATGTAAAAAAACAAAGCCTGGTTCCACAAAGTGATCTTGGCTCTACAATGAGTTGGGGGAGAGGGCAAATAATATGTATAGTATGAACGAGGAATTCACATGCAATGGAAATTAACATACCAAAATAGTTCTTGGAAAATTTTACAAATTAAATTGCATTTCAATCCACTTGAACTGCCATACATAATAAACTATGGTCCTTATGTACTGTATGTTAAAACTGAAACAGTGATTATACAATATTTCTGTACACTTCACTATGACCATTTGGCATGCCTTGAAGTCTGTATATGGAACTGTAGAACTATTGTTAACAAATAACTTTCACATTTTAGAACATTTACATTAAACATAAACGATTTAATGACACACGTTTATCTATATTTATAGGAATGAGGAATTCACATGCAGTGGAAATTAACATACCAAACTAGTTCTTTATTACGAATGAAATAAAATATTTTACTGCTTTGAAATCTGTATATATATTTATTGTTCAATATATATTTATAGTTTCTTCAATACATGTAGATAAAACAACAACAATATGGACTGAGTAAGATGTGTCAAATCGTCACATCCTTCAGGTCAGCCTTGAACCTGAGTGGGTGAGTATGGTTTTACGCTGCTTTTAGTTTTAGCAATATTCCAGCAATATCACGACGGGGACACCAGAAATGGGCTTCACACATTATACCCACGTGGGGAATCGAACCCGGGTCTTTGGCGTGACGAGTGAATGCTTTAACCACTAGGCTACCCTGCTGCCCCCCTTGAACCAGAGGGAACTATGGGTAGGAGAGCGACATTGGTCTGTCTGACCACACATTATTAGTTACAGGTTGCCATGACATGAACCTTTTAACACTTCTCAGACCGATAGGATCATTTGGTCACTAGGCCAATAGAATAAACAATATCCAGGTATAATAAACAACCCTCCGCCTTCACCACTGATGTGTCACAGCTTTGATCAGCTCAGCTATAAAATGCCAGTCTGCCCTGCAGGTAACCTCGCCATGTGTTGTACTATCAATTATCGCTTGCCTTGAGCCAGTCATTTGTCTTTTCTTACAAGTGTGGTTCAGTATAGCCTTTCATGATAAGGGAAATATGCTGCGTGCAGTCTTGTCCAAAGGCAGGTATGTCATAGACTTCTTCAAGTCTCTAAGGCAGGGATTATCAGTTTAAATAATAAATTTGTACATTATACAAAAATAAAAACAACTTGTCTCTGAAAAAAAGCCATCATTAGACTGTACGTTCTGCTTTTCTAGACTTGCTTGTTATAATGGTAACACTTTCAAGGACTTGTCATTCAGATCAGACTTGGACCAAGGCTAGGTACAAGTGTGGAGATTCACTTGTATGAGCAGTTAATTTTCAAACACTAGATGAGGATTTGACATTATTTACCTTACGAATACTTATAAGAAGTATTGGTAAGAATATCAATTTCAGGATGTGAGTTTTCATTATCATCTTTTCCAAACTTGAGTGAACATTGCTAAACAATGTATCAGTTGAAGAGAAAATGTCAACGGTGAAAATACTTTCAACTTCTCGGTATAATTCAAATTTTCAACTTCTAAATGTTAAATATGATTCAAATTTTGCCAAATGTTTTAAATGTTCCAGCAATAGAGGGTGAGTTTAGTTTAAACCTGTTAGGGCAATATTCCAGCTTAACCATTGTACCCAAGTGGGGATTTGAACCTGGGTCCGAGGCGTGACAAGCTGATGATTTAACCACTAGGCTATCGGGTGACCAGCTGATGCCCCCTCAAAATATTAACCCAACCCTTACTATCTGCACATGATTCATTTACAATGTACGTAGTTAAAGTGACACCAACATTGACAGAGGGCACACTTGACTCTGTGCACTATATACAGGAAGTGAAATGGACACCCTTCCTGAAATCTTTAAACATTTCTGACAGGTCACCAACAACCAAGGCTCTATTTGGGTTAAGGATGGCCCCTTCAGAGGAATATAGAACAGCCATTAGACAGGCTAAGTGGGCGGGTTTATTGGCATTAGCACCAACACAGGTGTCCATTTCACCTTTACATATGTACTGAAATTGACATCAGTAAATGTCAAACGTATGACACTTTTTTGACAAGTGACATGGAAGAAACCTGGTAAGAATAACAGGTACAGAGTAGAATGACATTTGACTTTTACCTATACAGAAAATACCAAACCAAATAAATAGAAATTATATTCTACCCAGTGCAATGTGAGTTGTGTTGCATGTGTTCTTGTGTGTGTGTGTTATTTACTGAACTAAATTATTCCAGCCGTATTCCTGGCCTGTTAAAGGTGATAATCAAGTTGGGATCCAACAATCCTGTGGCTGTTATCATGAGCAACAATCCAAACACTCGGCAGACACACGGTTCAATGCCAGTCATACCAATCAGGAATATGATCAGATGGTTATATTTCCAATTCTTGAACTGGTACCAGTCAACCATATCATACCGACAATCCACATCATATTAATCAGTTGTGTACATTCTACAAACTTCAGTATACCGCAAACATTTAATCCTATAAAATCAACAAGCTGTCACATACAACAAAAGAAATTAACAATCATGAAATACATCACTATGTACATTGCCTGCAGACATTGCTTGATGCTATCTGTCAATCACTTCCTTGCCTATATACAAGGTAAGCATGCCTTACCTATTAGAGTAATGAAAGTCATTAGTCAGGCCTAGTCACTGACCATGAATAACTTACATGTACCCTCAATCACCTGTTGGTCATTTGTAATGTATGTTGATGTTTAGACAGTCAAGAACAACGTGGGATTAGTTTGTTCTCAATCATTTTAGAGTTGTCTAAACTGAGGTGACTGTCAAAATGTCTACATAGGCTTGAGTGAGTGAGTGAGCGGGTATGGTTTTATGCCGCTTCTAGCAGGGGACACCAGAAATGGGTTTCACACATTGTACCCATGTGGGGAATCTAACCCGGGTCTAAGGAGTCACGAACGATGCTTTAATCACTAGGCTACCCCTGTAGGCTATGAAAGATGATTCACAAAGGTTTTAGTTGACACAAACTAGTAGGGATGCCACGATACATCGATACTTTTCTAAGATGATACAAATATCAATACATTCAAAACTGTATCGATATTTAGTTTTGAAAGTATCAGTTTAAATATGTTTATGTATCGTTTATATGTTGCAATTGTATCAAGTTTTTTTATGTTTTTTTCATAAACAAAGAGGGGAAATTAGAACTTTTTAATCACAGAGAATAAAAAATGTTGATCTTTTCACGGACAATTATAAAATATAAAATATTAATGTTCAAAATGTAACTAAATTTATGCAATAATGCCGCGAAAATAGGTATCGTTATACGTATCGAATCGTGACATGGGTATCGTGATACGTATCGAAACTTATGTATCGTGACATCCATACAAACTAGTTAAATATATTTCACTATCCAAATCTCATCTTTGCCATTATACATGATTCAATTAACTGAGATTTTAGATGTTCCACAAAAATTAAAAACTTGCACTCTGTCAGAGGATGTCCTTTCAAGATTGGTAACACTTTGACTAGACAAGTAACTTTTTGACAAGTAACATTTTCAGAGAACTGGTGACATGTTCTAGCAACTTGAAATGTTTCCATGTCACTGACAACATATTAGACTAACCCTTAGTCCCTGAATATATATAATTTTGATTTAAACAAATACACCCATTTAAATTGAAAAGGAGCCCCAGTGAGTTGGGAGATTCAGGACCTGGGAAATCTAGACTTGCTTCATTTAGGGCTTTAGCATTGCAGGGAGGGCTAGGTGTCAGGGAAAATAATGTAGTTCAGGGACTGTGAGACAGACTAGCAACATATTACCAAGGCTGGTTCCATTCCAACAAAATAGATAACATTTCAACAAGACCTATAGTATTTCCTTACTAAAACTGTGAAGAATTGAATGCTTAAACATGAGATTACATGATAAAAACAATGCCAGCCCAACTGCAACAAGTCTGCACATACACACAAATCCATTATTTACACAAAGTCACACTCCAAAGTTTCATATACACATTAACACAATATTATCTATTTATAAGCATGAGCACTGGATATAACCAGATTATTTACAATTTAAAACATTTGTTATAAAGATACTGTTACAACACTACTGGCTGTGATGTAATAGAGGTAGAGTATTAAAAGGAATTCTACACAAACATTAACACCAGTCAAAGTTAACAGTCTATGCAGACTTAACATTGCAGAACGGGATACTTACTCAGTTCCATTGAAACACTGACACAATGACATCAGATTTACATTGTGTGCATGACTACCATTCTGTGTGAAACATACATCAAATTTTTGTTAATTTTTGCCTATAACATCATATTTAACAGGAGCTAGTGTTGGGAATTGGTTGAAATCTCACAATTGATGATTGCTTCATTACTAGGTGGGTATTGCAGAGAATTTTCATATTGCGATATATTGCGATGCGAAAGCATATATTGCGATATGTATTGCAA